GCAAATTTGCTATTTTTAAGTTGTAACCGCAAAGAACAAAGTAAACACTTTCCCGATGTTGCCAACTTAGTGTACTTTGCTTGACAGCGGTTTCCATGAAATAATAAAAAAAACTTTGAAGAAAAAAAAATTGGAAAAGAATGGTCAGCTGTTTGATGGTTTTTAAGTGTATTTTAAAGTAGTGAAATTTTTGTAACAAATTTTTTAAAATAACTTAAGAACTTTAATAATAAAAGAAAATATCACTATATTGCTTGGTTTTTGTTGCAAATAACGTGGAAAAAAAAAGCTAAGTATAAGTTTATAAGATTATTTATGTATATCTTAAAAACTACTGGATTTCCTAAGCAAATTTTATTCAAGAAGACTCCAGAAAGCACTGGAAAGCGTTCAAAATTTGTCAAGGCAATAGTAGAGGAGATAGAAAGGTTTAGAACAACTGATAGAAAAGTTTAGCCGGTATTTTGTAGAATTCTAAATATTCTGAATCTTATCATCTGAAGGATGAATAAAATGACTATTATTTGTAAAAAAAAGTCAATTTTACAGTTTTACGGTTACTGATCAGACGTAAGCATAAGGTCAGGAAAAGTGAGAAAAAAAAAATGATTGGTGAGGAATTAATAGTAAAATATCTACTCGATGAAGGTGATAAGTGATCAAAAAATAAGAAAGTGTAAAGGCAGTGAGGACGCGATTACTTCAGTAGTTTTTGCTATTAATTCATTCAATAGTTGTTGTCAACTTAGGTACATTAATACGGGGTTAAAAGTACTTTGCAGAAAGACTACCAATACGTGTCATCGGTTAGGTTAATTAATTATTAAGTGATTTAGATTACTGCTGCTTATTGTGCTTAAAATTTTGTTTAGCATCAAGAAGCTGCACTCAGCAATAGATTTTTGGCTATAATCTATCTAAAATTTCAGCAATGCTGAGAATTAAATTTCAGAATTTGAATGTTATTTAATTTGTTTTTGAAAATCAACAGAAAAAGAATTTTTATTTGTTTTTTTTATTGAAAAAAACTGAAAAAAAAAAAGTACTGCAGATTAAAAGTTAAAACTAAAGAATTGTTAGCTGTAACAGTTATATGACTGCCAACAATTATAATTATTATTACTGTTTTTTTACTTTATTTTATATTATTTTACCTTCTTTTTTTTAGTATATTTTAACAAATACTTTAAGTTAAACTTATTTCAAGAAAAATTATTACTCCTTTTTCAGTTTACAGAAACTGTTTGATGACAACAAAAAGTAGCATTTTTTTTATAATTTATAATTTTTATTTGCTTTTTTTTTTCTTTGTAAAAAAAGTGAACAAAGTGGAACAGAGAATTGTAAGGCATATCTTATTCGGTTTTTTTCCCTTTCAGTGTGCATTTGTTTAGTAACGAAATTTTTTTACTTTTTTAAATTGATATTAATAAAGCATTTTTTTTTGAAGAATTTTTTTTTTAAAGTATTGTTAGTAAAGTATTTATTGCTTTGGTAATTTTTTATATTTATTAGACATCTAATTGTGGGACTGGAAGCAAAGGTGGAGCAGAAGAATGCGGGAAGGTTTTGGCGGAAAAGGGTGAGAGTTGAAAAAAAAAAGCACCGGAAAAAAATTGTTAGTATATCTTTAAAAAAATTTATTTTACTTTTTCCAATTTTTACTAATTATTAGTTGGATTTGCTTCTTTTTTTTACCTGTTTATTTACTGTTACTTAGGAGTTATTACTGCTGTTGTTTTCAGTGATATTACAGTGTTGTTGTTGTTACCGTTGTTTGGCCAACAAAAAGCCTGTATATTACGGAGCAAAGGAAGTAAATTTGTAAAATTACAATAAGCTAATTTCAGATCTCAAAAAAAAAATTTATATTTGATAGCAGCAAATGGTACAGTTGCAGAAAAAAATTAGAAAAACTGAAGATCAAATTTTAAAACAGTCCAACAAAAGATACTCTTTTTGATTGGACAAACGTCTTATTTCATTACTTTTTCTTCTTCTTCCATTTATTCCTCCTCTGATTTTTTGATTGTCCTCACGTTCTTTATTCAAAAAGTTTTTAAAATTCTATGAAATGTACCTAAAGACGTCACTGTCTGAAGAGCATCAGGCGTTAAATATTATACAAATAAAGTACTCAGAACACTTATTCTATAAGAACTGTGGAAAAATGTTTTTGATTTTTCTGTCCTCTGACAAAAATAGCAGTTAGTCGGTCAATTTTTGAGCAGCTATTTTTTGGCCGCTTATTTTTTGATTTATTTACCTGTTCCTTTTTATGGATTTTACATCTTAACTTAGCGTATGAATTTCCAAACACATATGCAGATAATTACTAAAATACCGGTTCATAAATCTGTATTTTGCCGTTCTTAAAAAATCGTTTAAAAATACTCAAAATTAAAAGGTTTGTCAGCGTGTCAGCCGAGGAAACTGAAAAACAGCAACCGTGATTATTTTTCAAATTTTTCACCTTTTTCGTCAATTACAGTTTGGTTCAAATTTTTTCTTTTTTCTTTTTTTTTTTTTTTTGATTATTAGTTTTTATTCGGATTTTTTTTGTTGTACTACAACATTTTTTTCAACAATTATAATCACTAATCATTATGACAGCAGTTCTCTTCTTTGCTATGTGAAAATCAGCTTTTAAGGACCAGTCAAAAAATAGGTCTAAAAGTTTTAATAAATAGAAACTAAATAAAAATATTGTTATTAATTAATTTTTTCTTTTGTACTATAAGCGTGTTTTAGTTGTACTAATTAATTTTAGTTCTAATTTTGTAAATTATTTTTTACTCATCAAAACTGCCGATAATGAGCGACGACGATAACAACACCTGAAAAAAAAAA